CATTCTTTGAGAAAATTCATGTGAAAGTTTGATTGTGTTTGATAACCTGTCATTTAATTTCTTGAGCTTCTAACAGTAACCTTGCCAGAAGTTGTTTGGCCTTTTTTTTCTATATTTGGTCATATTGGTAGGAAGACTTAGAGGAACGCACCTAGTCTGGAGTATGCATGATAATTTCCAAAGTCGGACCGTGGACGTGGTATATTCCCAGACGTTTTGCCGGCATTTACAACGAACACTGTCAGTCTTGGCACCACAGTACAACTCGTCAAAGAGACAAGTGAAGCCGATCCTCTGACCAAATGTCGGCTAAAACAGTTGTGGTATCTCTCCTTCTGCACTGGGCTGATCACCTATTCTATATTCTCCTATCACGCCTTCACTATCACTATTTTTCCTTGCTTATTTAAATCTAGTGTGATGTGCCCTTTTAAGCGGCTTTCATGAGAACCCATAGTTTGCTCGGGTAACACGGGTTTAATCAAGGAGACGACCCATGAAGGCAATGCCTGATATCTGTAAGCATGGGAATCAGAGCCCAGAAGCTCTGCTCAGTGAGGCAGCAGCGTATGTGTTTCTAGGGTCATGTCAAAGAGCGCCTGGCGTAAAAAGTACACCGGTACTGGAAACGAGTGAAATCGGTCAACCAGAAAGATAGGAAACAGATCTACGGGACCCTGAGGGAGATCTGTATAGAGGTCCTGAGTCAGACTAGCCGATCGAAAGAGAGGGGGCCAATGTGAATAGCGGGTGTGATGAGGCCACATTAAATTTGTCAAAAACGGCACACTTCATAACAAGTGTGGAATGTAAACGAGACGGGTGGAATGTAAACAAGTCAGAAGTTGTGACAGGACGGGAGTTTGTTAAGAAGGTAATGGGTAGATAGATGGGCCAGGACAGAAAGAGGAGTGATAGTGTAATCGTTTCGGCAGAACGAAAATCGAGGGGCTGACTTCATTTGCCTCTTTCACGAGTTCGTAGCTTGCTGCGGAGAATAGCAACACTTACTGAAGATGCCGGCGAAACATCTGAGAATGTACCAAGTCCACGGTCTGATGCTGGAAATTATGATACCTACTATGGCAGAGGACTTCGGACAGGATGCGTTCCACTAAGTCGCCCTGACAACAAGACCAAGTTGCGCAAACGAGATCACCCAACTTTTAAAATCGAAAGGAGACTGCGACCATACCGACCATACCATATTCATATCTTTGAAGCTACTTTCGCAGCCAAAAATGAAGCTGACCAATTAAATAAGCATATACAGGCCGTGTTCGAAAGCCCCGTAGGCTAACGCCTAATTTTTCTGTGAATATTTGTGTATATCCTCTAGATTTGTTGGGTCACCAAAATCGAAGGAAACGTGATACTAGGCAGTATACTAAGTGCTGAGTGCACGATACAATATGTTAATTTGCAGTATATACATTTTCGCCAAGACTGCATACTTAGCATACGATAAAACCAAAAAACCACCGCATTACACTTTTAATGAGGCCAAATAGCCACATTCTTTATAGATAATTTGGAAAACTTTTGGCGACATGCTTATAAATGAAGAAATTAGAAATAGGCAATTCCACAACGGAAAATGAGCCCTGTGGGAAGCCACAAAGAATGTTTAAAAAAAGAGTTCACACGAGATCCTCCATCCAGACTATATTTCAATGTTTACAAACGACATGAGTCATATACAAGGATCATGAATCATTGTCACTGACGTCTTACCGCGTCAGGTTGTAATCCCCCAGTGGGCAATATCTATTGCAAAACGAAGACCGGAGGTTAAGACTTCAAGTTCAGCACATTCATTAGTTTGGCAGAACAGGGCAGTCCTTCATCACCTTAAACGAAATAGGGTGAATACATCTCATAGAACAGGACAGGTTTTAAAAATAGAGATTAAGATAAGTCTTATTAGTGTGGAAAGGCAACAGTCAAGAGATAGCCGCATTCTGAATGAATAAAAGTGATATCACCTGCTCACCTCGAACATCTACGCCCTTTCTTCCGGCCCGACCCGCCATCTGCTTGTAAGTTAGGTATTCGATCATATGACCGGCATGAAATACTGGTGTACGCACTATAACACGACGGGCCGGTAGATTGACGCCTGAGCTGAGGGTGGAAGTCGCAACAAGGATATGGATCAGGCCTTGGCGAAATGCAAGTTCAACCACCTCACGCTCCTCAATTGTTAGACCTTGAACAAAAAGACATCATCACTCAGATGAAGAGGAATAACATTCATTTGTTGTGCTGTCGCCAGTAACATAGGGCAAGGTAAACATATTAGGATCCGTAAATAAACATTGACGCCCGTGCAACTGTAATTCTTGGGACTAATTAAATCAAATGATTGATTATTCTTACACGGGCGCATACAAAAGTAATTTTTAAAGGACAATTTAATAGGCAAGAATATGATGAAAGTTGAAAAATCTTCATATCGATCTAAACTATAAAAAATATAGAAAAGAAGTCAGAGGTACTGTCATAAATGCATATTTCAGGAATAAAGTCCGCTCTGAGTATCAAAGAATGGAGGTTTGGAGTTGTTGGAGGATAAACGGAAAAAAAATAGTAGAAATAAATCTTTAATATGGATAAAGTTGTCCAGTATGAGCAAAAAGCAGAACAAAACAGAACAAACAAAACAAAAGAGCAAAGGAAATAACTCGGGACCTAGAGAGTGCACTTGTCAAAGTTGAATACATTAGCCTATAAGGTACAACGTCCTACTCTTTATTAGCAAACAGTTGGTTAGTGAAAAGAGAAATAACGGGGAAAGAATAAAGAATAATAACTCCAGGTATAGATTCGTACAATGCCACTTAAGATAGTACTGAATCGATAGTGAACCGGGAATCAAGCTAGAGTAGTATGACAGTTATTTTCCTGTTACCATTGTTGGGGTGCCAATGAGACCAGTACGAGGTCGAAACTACAGTCTGAATGAGAATACCTTCTGAGAGGCAAGGATAAATTAAATTCAATAACATCGTATGGATTACTCCTATAATCATGAAAAAATTCGTTTGCAGTCCGTCAATGCCTTAAGAGATCTTGTTCATATTCAGGATCTACTGAAAATCTCAAAAGCCTACTCGCAGCGAAGTTTCGTACAAAGTATTTGACAAGAACTCGGGTCACCTTAGGTAGCCTTAAGAAATTCAAGACTAAGAGTTAAATTTCATACAAGTGAATGAGTAGGCCTTATGATGCCTGTGAATTTCATTTAATCTCGCTTATCAAAGTCTTTATCATCCCAGATGGATTTAAATTTCAACCCCAACTAATGCCATCAACGCACCCAACAGGATTAGAAACCTGGTCGTTCGTGACAGTCGGTAAGGTTAGAACTCGACCAAACAGCAAGAGGGGCCAGTGCGTCACAAAGAATATATGACTTTAAAGGCAAGCCAGACCTTCCCAATCCAGTCATATTGGGACTGATAGCTTCGACACCCATTCATTGAGTATACCAATTATTTAAACTTAATATTTTAAAGAAATGGGTTGACCTCGTTGTCGCAACTTGGTCTTGGGCTCAGGGAGACTATGTAGAACGCACCGAGTCCGAAGTCGACTGCCATAGTGGTTGTCAG